ATCTACAGGCTTTTATTAAAAAATAAATGTCTATTTGTAACAGGGAGCCCCCTTTGTACACTCCCCTTCTGGGTACTGATACAACAGATGCCCCTTCTTGCCTGCCCCCCACCCCTCCCCTTTTGCACATTTCTTTTTCCTTCTAAGTATTGGCAAAGACCTAGCACATCCATTGCATGGGTGTGGCAAGGCTTGGAGCAAGCCAGAAAGCTGAAGTGGCTTTCTGTAGGAGAAACCTACAAACTACATCTACATATCAATTGAGCTAAGTGTCACTGAAGAAAACAAAAGAACTAAAATATCCACTTCAAAGCAAAGCCTGTAAGAGACAAGAAAAGCCAAGGTGCATGGAAAGCATGACTCTAAATATATCCTGGTGAACACATTCCCCCTTTGATTAAGACCTATTTCCCAAAGTAAACTTCCCGTATCTGTCTAAAGTTTTATGCTAAAAATCAGTCTATGTGACTGCATCTAACCTAACTCACTTACTATCCCCAGTAGCCTTTGATCCTCACTACCTCACACTGCAGTTTTATATATTTCTCACACTGCATTTTTATATTTCATCTGTCTCATCCTTGCCCTGGCATCCTGTGTTTTATGTTTTATACCTTTCAACTTTTAACAAATGTATTCTTTAGAGCAAGTCATACCTTGTATTACTAAAACTGTTATTATAAGAATGCATTGGAATTGTAATCACTGGAATTGTATTGTTGTATTGGGCTGGTCCCCTGAGTGAATGTGAGTATGTATGAGTCAGTAGGTGATTGAATGGCAAAGCAAGAGCCTCTGGCTGTTAACTGACAATAGCCTAGCCAAAGGAACTTATCTTTACACTGTTACAGCTCTACTCTATGAGGCATTTTAAGCTAATCAAACCACCTGGAACCTGCAATGACACAGCCATTGAGTCAATCAAGTCAAGAGTGGACTCCCAAAACTGCACCATTGCGTGAAACCCCCAGTGACTAACTGATAGCTGTCATGCACTACTCAAGACCCACGTGAGACAGAAACCTCCGGATTGGGCAGCCAAGATGATGCTGGGGGATCACAAAATCTGCCAGAAATGGATAAGAGGCTGAAGCATGAGCCTCATTGGTGCCCTCTCATCCAGCACCTGACCTACCAAGGCAGAAGGACAAGCAGGTGACCCCCTTCTGGAGAAGACATTACTTTGGAGGAAGCTGACCATTGACAGCAGACTCCAATGCCCCGGATAGGTATAAACCAACATCAGTGCTACACCACTATTGCAGCAATTGCGTGCGCGTGCGTGCATGCGAGAAAGAGTGTGTTAGGGTGGCCAGTACCCCATATAACTAAAAGTTTGCATTTATGATTTTATTGGTAACTTCACATCCCGTAAAATAAATTAGACTTTATTACGATCCTGAGAGTTGGTCCTTTGTAGCCAATGTATTTACATTACTTAAGCAGAATATATTTTTTTAAAGTAGCAGGGAAATAATAAAAATATTTTATACTTAGGGTGCAATCAATGTCCAAAATTTTTATGGAAGGACAAGTTATGAGCAAACAAACATCCTAAGCCCCCTGTCCTGCCCCAAACGCCCAAAAATGTTGCTGCAATCCAAGATTGTCAGTTTGTGATGCTTTAAGGGAGGACATCCACTTGCTAAATGCGTGCTGCACGAATCCCATGGTGTGCATGATCCATGGACACCCCCACTTTCAGACGTATGCCCCAGATTAGGAAATGGCACCGAGGCTGCTGTTCCACAGAATTGAGCCCCTGAAGTCCCAGCAGGCGCAGGACCCTGCAGGACAACAGATCCAGACAATGTCTTTAAGCACCAATAAATAGGGATCTACTTAAAACGCACAGAGGCAAAGTAAAAATTACAGGTCCCTCACAGTGCCTGGCATCATTTTCACAGTCTTTTTGTAGTGAGCGCCTCCCACCCACTAGCTGATTGGCCAAGGGGCTCCAGCTCCCACCCCTCACCACTGATTGGCTGGGATGGCTGCCCTTCATGTGACCCCACCCTTACCTGCTGATTTGCAGAGAAGGGGAGGGCCACACAAAAGGTAGCCCTCTTGACCAATCAGTGGCAAAGGGAGAAGGGGTAGCTGCCATTTTAACTGTTCCTCTTCATGCCAATTACTCCCACTAGGGAGCCAGCATTTTATTTTTAATAAGTTTTTTTTTTTTTGGCAATGCCATTCAAAATCACAGGGAATGCCAGCTTTCACAGTGATCGCAGAAATGGCCTTTTTTCACTTTTCATGAAAATCACAAAACCACAAATTAACTAGATTCCTACCAATGAAGCAAACCATCTGTGCTGGGACACAACCCAGCACAGATGACCCCATTCCTAAAATGACATTGGTTTATACCCATAAAATATCACACACGGGACTCTCAGGGTGCATCCCCATGAGTGCACACGTGCGCTTTGCATGCCACAAACCCATCTATGGTTCCACAAACTGTGCACCACACATGCATGTGTTTGCCACACTCCTAATTAGCAGCATGGCAGGGTTTTTTGATACCAGGAGATCCTGATGTCAAAATAAAAGTGCCAAAAAAGTGACACGACGCATGTGGCTGCAGTGCATGCTGCCCATATCTGGAGCCTGGCTGGCCAAAGCCACACTCTGGCTGCCAGCCAGGCTCTGTGCACCCAGATCACCACCACTGCAACCCTGGGAGGCCCCCAGGGAAGACTACTGGGGCCAATCCAGGTACTGGCCCCAGCCTCCCCTACCCAACCCAGGGCAATTTGCCACACATGTTCAGAGGTGTGCCCAGGAGCAACTAACAGCGGCACAAATATGTGCCATCTATCCCTGGGGAAATGCACGTTCCCCACTTGTGGCGACACACTCAGAGAGTCTCCCCTTAATTAAATAATTTAGCTGCAAACCACTGGTTGGAGATATTATGCCCCTCTCCCCAACCACAACTTTTATATGTAATAGAATTCAGCTGCAGCAATGATTAGGGTATAATTTTCAGAAGGTTCAAGTTCAGCCTGTACACATTTTCTTCAGGGATCTCTGTAGATGTACAAATTGATTTAAATACCCAATTTATACATCTGACATATAGTAAACATTGGTCTGCATAAATACCAATAGACTAGTCCTCAACTTTCTGAAAAAAATCACAAGCAATTTCTCCCAACTTACACATGACACATAAGGTATGTCTCCACTGCACACTCCACTTGAGCTAGTTCACTTATAACTAGCACAGGTGTACCTACATTACACCTCAGAGAGCAGTGTAGGCATGACCTGAAGCACAGCTCAAACCAGAATGCAGGTCTCCTGTGTCCCGATCCCAAGCCTAACCCTAATGACTCATCTTCCTCACCGTAACTAGACTGTATTAAAATCTCTTCATTTCATCAGGCTCCAGTGTTGCTCAAAACAATTAAGAAACTGAGTTCTGCAAAACCTTGTGTTTTTAAATAATGTAAAAAGCCTTGATGTAGGTCACTCAAGGTTTGCATGAATGTTCTGATATTCTCTAGCTGCTACTGTTTGCTCCTAATATTTCCTTCACTATTACTTTATTTTCCATCTTGTTGAATGTTCTCTTAAGAAGAAGAAAAAAAAGCAGTACGATGAATATGGTCCTGAAAAATTGTTATCAACATTTACTATCAGCCAAGGCTTCTGGCTACACATTGCTTTGGTAGCAGATGATGATAATGTAACAACTAAACTTTATTCACTTAGCCCAGGTCAGTAGAAGAATAGAATTTTGCAAAAATTGACTGGAGAAAAAGTCCATGGCTGAACAGCTCGCAGTGCTATTCTCCACCCTATGCACTCCAGAGAGTCTCTTTAATTCCACTGTGGAGCAGAACAGAGAGGACATTTTCTGCCCCATGACTGCTCTGTACCAAGTGCATGCATTTGTGGTGGGGACATCAAGGCTGCAAGTCATGCCTATTCCTGGCCATCACTGTTTCTACTGATAGCCTGCATCCTCTTCCACCATATAAATGATTGTGCAGAATTGTGAGGAAGAGGGGCACAAGCAAGGGTGATTAAGCAAAACCTGGTTTACATACAGATTCCGTAACAGTCTAATTATGTCAGCTTTGGGGGCGAGCTACAACTTTTAGTATGGATGCAGTTATTCTAATATAGAAAAGCTTTATGCTGGCACAGCATTCTGGTACCTGAGAGTTGTACTGTTTCTGAGTTATACCCCCATCTCAAGTCAAGGGGAAGAAGGGGAAGCAAGATTAAAACTATGGTATAGAGTCCAGACATAGATGCTATATCTTTTCTTCTAAAGTATAACATTGAGAGTAATGTTGGTATAAACAAGAAAGCAAAAGGAAGTGGTTTCATCAATCTGGCTGACCTAAACAGAGGAGTTTCAGACACTTGAAAAGATTTGGCTAAACTTTTTAGAAACCTCCGATCAACCCCCATGGCTTTAAGCTGTGGCGTCACTCTCCCTTCCCCTCCCAAGTTCCCTCCTTTCACCTCTCTTCACTGTCCTTCCTTTTCTTTATATGTTCTCCTGCTGCTTTTTCTTTTCATTTTTTAAATTCTTCTCTCTTCTCTCCCTTTATTTTGGAATTATATTTCAATTTTAAAAAATATATAAATATATCATTTTCTGGGGGTAAGGAGCAAATCTTCCTCCTTGGACTTCAGTGAAGCTACACGGGAACATGTGAAAACAAACTGCAACAGCTTTAACAGCAACTCAGACTTCTGTCCTACACTGTGTAACAGTGTCCTTATTGAGACTGACAGTCAACAGCCTCACAGCACCTCAAATCTTTTCCAGTCTGCAACTGGTACAAAACAGGTGGGCTACAGCACCCCCAGAGGAGTTCATTAAACTTCTGTGGGACTGTGGGTGAAGGCTTGCGAGCCCTTACCCATTGTACATTTTAGGATTGGGGCCTAAATTGAAAATATCCTATTTCATAACACCAATATTTATGAATGCACTTAGTTGGACACATAATAAATCATACAGTCATCCTTACCCAAGGTCCATGCAAAGTAATACTTTGGCTTCGATGCTTGTGTAACAACATACAGGTAACCAAGTCTTGACATGAAGGATGTTTTATTGATAAACTGGTTATCAATGATGTATGTAACAGGGAAGCTCTTGGTAAGTGTCAAGAACAAAAGGAGAGATACAAGGGTGATACAGAGTTTGTACGCCACAGCTCCCTGAAAAAGCATAATAAATAACAAAACATTGGTGTGATCATTTATTAGAATAGGCTAAATGCAAAACAATGCTTGCTCTTTATAAAAGGAATCTGAATCAAAACCCATCCTGATTAGAGGCAGCAACCAATTTCATCACCATTAAATTTCCAGCTGGTATAAAGAATGGGCAAAGCCATGCAAAAGTTAGCTTTACTGGATCCAAGTCATTTACCAGAAGAGAGTAAGGAATTTTTGTAACCCATCTCAGGCAAATTCTTTCATCAGAATCCTACTGGAAGCCGCTGGAATTGTCTTGAGGAAGAAAAAGATGGGAAGCAGACAGCTTCCCTCTCTATGCAGTTACCCAAAGGACAAATCTTGGATTCTGGCTAAAAGCCCCAAACCTACTGATGTCCAATATAGCAAAACCACTCTCTGGCACTGCACCTACCGTCAGCTTGCCTGAGAACCTATTTACAATTACTTACTCTTAACCAGCCCATAAAGCTATGTCATCCTGCTCAGGGTCTCCGCACAGTCTGGAAATTTGGCAGTGGGGGAAAAACTGGCAATTAACAATGCTACCGCTGTCCCACTGCCTAATTTCTAAGCCAGGCAGGCAAGATGACACAGCCCAGTGCAACGGGCCAGGACCATGGGCACAATCTGGCATGCAGGGCCAGGACCCAATACAGCGCATAGGGCTGGGATCATGCAGTGGGCCAGCTCTGCCTGCCAGATCAGGCCCAGACTGACCTTGCACCACTCATCCAGCTCATGGAGCCAAAAGGTTAGGCAGCGCTGACCTAGTATGCACACCTCTTTTCATAGCTTTCCATGGCACCTGTCAGTATAAACTATGTGACTACTTGGTAAATGGTTTTCACAGACTCAACATGAATAAATGGACTATACTTTCATAATGCAAACGGGGGAATCTAACATTAAATTAACACTGGGATAATTAGTTTATGTTAAAATATGCACTCTTTTAATATGCACACTGTTCACAGCAAAAAACTTTAATGCATATTTTTTAGTAGAAAAACACCCACTTTTATATACTATATTTATATACAGTACACATATCACAACTTGAGTCCAATTCTAACATTGTTTACACAGATGTAAATCAGAAATAACTCCACTATATTCAGTGGAACTATGTCACTGCAGGGTCAGAATCAGACTCCATACACAGTACACACTCTTGCACATTATAGAGCGCTTGTGCAAGTAAATTCTGCTCTCAATTAAAGGCATAAATCCAGAGTCATTTAAGTGTGACATGGTAGAAGGTGGCCCATATATTTTTTCTGGAATATATGAAGGACATTTGTTCAAGTGTCAAGTTAATATTTAATAAAACAAGACAATAATAAATTTTAAAAATGGTTTTGTGGTGGATTTGATCTTTTCCATGCTTACAATAAGGAAAATGACCCCAGGTTTTCTTGAAAAGAATTAAAATCAAGCTACAGTGCTTAATAAATCATGATTCCTGTATCCAGTGCATCTCTCACATAACAGTGATAGGATTTTTTTTTCCAGTTATTCCATTTTGTGAATTGTGCTCTCTCTTTTGTCTTGGTTCGAATACAATTCCCAATTATCTGAACCTACAGAAGGTTCTCGTTGTGAGCACAGAAAGCAGCACATATGATGACCACTATCCAATAAGCTGCTCTGCAGGCCAAACATGTGTTCCTGAAACACAAAGGGAGGACGTCAACACCCTCTCCATAAGCTTGGTAATGAAAACAGGAATTGTTTTACGTAGAGAACACTGTGATGTTAATTAGCAAGATACCCAAGAAGAAATCAACTTAATGTTTTTAAGTAGGTGCTACTATTAATCAGTCACATGCAAAGCAGTGTTCTCCAGCTCTTTACAATAAATATTTGGCATTTTACGACTTACAGTTGGAGAAGGATCGGGAAGTCTATCGTAACCCTTTTGCTTCCAGTTCACTTCTAAAAGTTTCATATGTACATGCCTCCCTTCAATGAAGGCTATATAATCCTTGTAATTGCTGCAAGGCCCAGCTATGATACTCATAAAATTGAGAAGATAGCTTAAATACTCCAGTAAAGAAGGTCTTCTTCTGTCAAAACATCCAACACACAACAAAACAAAACAAGGTAAAACATGGCAGAAAGTTTCATGGGTCATTTACTAAAAATTTGATTTAAAAGTGTAGCAGTGCAATATTTTGCACAGCCCTGTAAATTATCAGACAGAGTATATTTAAGACATTACACACAAAGCAGGACCCTTCATCATGTATACTCAGAGGAGCTCTCTTTCCTGCCCGTATTTCAGATGTTTGAATGGCTTGTCCCAGCTGAGAGAGGAGCATGTTGTTAGAAGACTGGCAGCAGCACAAGCAAGAAGCAAAGATGAGAAGCTGTGTCTAGTGTTGCAGTATGTACAGGGACAGGAAGAAGAAAGATCAAGAACTGCTGAGTAGCCAAATGCAATGGAAGAAGTATGCTTGCCAATTCTTCATGTTTTCTAATATACTATGGATCTCTACCACGTCAATGGGAATTGAAGAGGTTCTGCTACAACCTGTATTCAGACTAGATTAGCAACCTTTCAAATTGGAAAGGAAAACATGTAGAATTACACTGCCTACACCATCTACATGCATCTTGTAGGGGAATTAGTAGCATTTTATTTATGCCGATGATGGCATAAAGACACAATGGTCCACAAAGATCCAAAGGCTTCCCAAACACGTGCATTGCTCACTGGTCAGTTCAGTGGTAACTCCCCATTTGGGCGCACGTATGGACAGTCAGGGATAAGCTAATCTGGCTAAAACTACATATCTACATATGTAAGACTCAAGGTAAACTTAAACCTTTGTATAAAAATGTACTGCATTTACCTGAATCCAAGATGACTTTGAATTTAAGATGACCCCACCCCCCAATTATTAGATTGTATGAATGCAAAAAGTATAACTAGTTTATAATTTTTTCACTGTGTAGAAGCTAATTATTGCAGGGTTGTCTTAAATTCATCCCCCCCCACCAACTGCTACAGTGGGGAAAGCAGTGAAAAGGGGTGTGCAGTGGGACAGGCAGATGGCTGGGTAATCAAGTAGCCCCCTCCCCCACCTTTTGGACCTCCTGTAGCCTGCACCTCTTGCTACCTGCCCCCCTGCGGTGCTCGTGCTCCTGCTGCCTGTTCCCCAACATCATACCCCCCCAAACCCCACTTACTGCTGGGCATGACTTTGGCTCCATTTCCTCCTAGGACACAGAGCACTTGAAAGCTCCAGTCCCTGCCTGGCTATGTAGCAGGAGCATTGGTAGCAGCTCTGGTCCTGAGACACTGCTGCATAGACAAACAGGGGTTGCAGCTTCCATGTGCTCTGTGCTCAGGAGGGAAAGGAGCTGAAGTCACATCTGATAGTAAGCAGCGGTGGGAGGAGGCAACAGGTGCTGCGACTGACTCTGGACCTGACCTAGACTCAGGGCCAAAATGAGAGCCATAACAACTATTTGCCCCTCGCCTTGTCCTTGAATCCAAAATGAAAAAGTCTCCCTCCCCACCCATGTTGAATGGGGGAAAAAGCCAGGCCTTGGATTTGAGTAAGGACAGTATTTTTAATTAAATGTGTACCATCAGCTGAAAGGATGAAACAATGGTAACACATCTGCTGCTCTCTTATTTTCTGAATACAGAACCAGTTCAAGCTATGCAACCTTTTGCATTCACTGTGCCCCTTACTGAAGATACTGATATCTATCCGAGATTCTCTCTGATAGTAAAATTTTCTAGATAAAGGTCCAGCTTGTAAGCTTTTTGGACCACCAGTAATTTCATGTTCTCTGCTTAAACAGAGTTTAGCACAACGGGGTCCCAATGTATGACTAAGGGACTTTAGGCACTAATATACTGAGCAACAGATAAAGCCAACAAGCCTTGCCAAAGTCATGCCACTGTGTCTGCCAGACAATAGCAAGTCTGCCTAGAAAACTGAGCAGAGAGACATGAGTAATGCATGAAGGAATGTAGAGAACATGAGCAAAAGAGAAACAAAGCAGGCCAAGAACAGGAAAGAAGACAAAAGGCTGCCTTACAAAATAGGATTTAAAACTCCCTCTTTGTAATTTCTCAGCAGCTGACATTCAAACTTTGGCATGTTGTTAGCTACTTTCCCCATACAGTACAGTATAGAACACTATATCATCATAACAACAGGTAAAGTTAATCTTATGACCACAGAACCCAGTTGCAGTCCAGCATATTAAATCTTCCTTGCAGACTTTTGTTTTTCGAGAGATGACTTTTAGTTTTAATTCGCATATCATTTTCTAATGGCTAACAGTTAAACCTCAGAAAATAAGCAACCAATGTTTCTGGCCAAAAGCAAAGTTTCACATATATTAAATTCAAAGCTAAATATTAGTTACTTGCTTCCACTCTACTCAAAAATAACCCCACCTTCAACTGATAACTACAGACTTGTAGAATTAAAATAAACTGGGAAAAAGATGCTTGTCTGGACAAGCAACATCAGCTCTTTTTAAGTGCTAAGACCAGTCATTCAAAGTTTATGCTCTTTGCCTCGAAAGTGAAGAGGTAAACAAGAAATGTGCATCAGTGTCTAGAAACTAGGTCAAAGAAAAACAGAACTGAACATGGATTAATGCTACGATGTAGTTGCTGATAAGAGAAGTCATATTTTAATATGAAAAACAGCAGGCCACAGTGAAAGGAAGATGAAAGCCTAAAGATCAGAGCAGAGTATAAATAAATTATATGTTTATTAAGATAATGCTTTGACAAAAAAGTTGCTTCCCTTTAAACACCCATTACAGTTAATGTGATCTAAGCACATGGTTGGGTGCTTTGCTGAATGAGGGCCCTCTTGGTGTTTATTTGGACAGGTGGGAAAGGATGGCCATATTCATGAGCAACTGGGATACCATCATCATCCCAAAGAAGAGAATTGCTTAAATAAGTATAAAAGCAAGCTAGCTCTGGATGGCTTGAGGAAGCACATCCTAACATAAATCTTATCTCCCGGTACTGAGAGGGTAGAATTGACACCCTCTGCTCCCCATTCTCCAAACACAATCCACCACCTAACCTCATCTAGATGAGATTGAAGACCAACTAGAAAAACTAAGTTCTTACTTTACAGCAAGTCGACTCTGCTCTGCAGTGAGGTCCTCAGCTTGTCGACCTATCCCTAGCAAAAATAAATAATAAGCAATGACACAATACAATTAAATATGTCTCTTCCAAAAATACCTTCAGAAAATAAATTCCCACACCCAAAGATTATATCCTGCATAAAATTATTAGAGTTTGAAAGCCAAACACCTTCTTGCTTTTCATCATTACCAAGAGTAGGACTTTATTTCAGCTTCCATCTCTCCAGTTAAGCATGCTCATCCTCAAAGAACTGCAGTGAGCAACTGAGTAAAGGTGCATTACTGCTTGATCCTCCCCTACCAGCATCTCCTATTGGATAGATTTCTCCTCCTCATTCTTCCTCTTCTAAAGAAGCTCTGCCTTACTTCAGCTTCACCTTCCATAAAGAGTTTCCCTCATAGACAGTGAGCCCACTGATACCCATCCACCAGCACTGATTCCCAGTGCCTTCTTCTAACAGCTGTTCCATAATATCTCTATTCCCATAAGCTGCTGGTCCAATTAACCACAAAACTGCTGCTGGCCTCCTTATGAGGAACAGAACAATTCACAGCAAGAGAACTGGCCAAGGGAGAAGTGGCACCCATCATGGGAAAAGAGGGGTTGTTCAGGACGTAAAGTCAAGAAGTCTCAACTCAATCTCCTTTCCTTTTTTCCCTGGAACAGCATCCTAGCCATGAAATCCACATCTTGGTTGCAAAACAGACACTAATGAGGTTAAACACTGCATTAATAAACAAAACCCCTTATGGCTAATGTGACATTCAGCAATGATCCTGAATACTCCATAGTAATGAAATGCAGAAGTGGACACCATCATTATATAAACTGTGTAACCCTATGCAGACTGGATACTTCATAGCATGCATTTAACAGCAAACATTATTCTGCTCTTTCTTTTCAATATGCAACAAAAAGGCTGAGCTAATTTTATGTAGAGAATTGTGGTTGAACCAATAGGCAGAATTTTAGCTGTCTTGGATTCTTCTCCCCATGAAGAACTAGGCAGAACTCCTGGTTTTTGTGCATGCAGATTAAAATGGCATGCACAAAAACAGCCTTTGTTAAAACGCCCCAGTGTATGAACACAGAGAAAATAGGAGAGAATCTTTCTTTATCAATACCAGGAATTTATTAGTCATAATATAGATAGTATCTAGGCACTGAGTAAAGTAAGTCAACTTAATGTGAAAAGAATGACAAGCTCTCCCCCTTAAATTTGAACCCCAAATGAGGCAACCTTTCACAAAAATGTATTTATTTGAGAAGCTTACAAATGCTGCATGACAGCCACTAGCTGGCTTTTTAGGAGTTAAAGCAGTCTTCTATCTTCACCAGCACGAACTAAGAGACTAACTTTTTGCTCATGGAGCAAATCCAAATAGACAGACATAGATATATAGTAACTGGAATTTTATTGCCTCCTAATTCTCTACATTAGCAAAAACTTACTACAAAATACATGCCATACAAATGTCCTCACTTTACTGCTTATTTTTATGCTCTCTCCCTCTCTGCTAGTAAATATTGAAAGCACCTGTACTTCAAAAAATACACTTCAGGTTCAGGTTATTTGAAATGTTTGATTTGTTTGTTTCAGTTTAGAGTCAGTTGCATGAATTTTCAGATAGAAACTTGTGAGCATCTGAAATGAAAACAACATCCATTTCACCTAGTTCACAGATATGTACTTTGGCAGGGTAATAAGCACTTATCAGCATAATTAATATTGGGATTTTTTTTTTTTAATGGTACTGCCTCTGCTTACACATTACCCTCCTCTACATGTGTTTAGTGACCCACTGGATACAACTTAATGGTACATGAACACTGCAGACTACAGCACAGTGAAGAGAAGCGTTGGCAAGCTGGTCAACTGACCAGTCAATATTGTCAATTAACCAGTCAACTGACTGCATATTTTTGACTGATCAAAGATTAAAGCAATTTTTTGGTATTTTTCTTGACAGAAATACAATTTTTTAATTGTTTTTTGACACATTTCTTAATGGAAAATTTGTGCTTTTTCTGCATGTTATTTGGACCTATTTGTAATAATTTACCATTTTTGACAGATAGTTGACCAGTCAATTGACCAAATTTTATTTGACCAGACAAATACCCAACCCTAGTGTAGAGATACCCAAGCTAGCCCATTTGAAGCTTCACACAGCTGCAGCTAGGCTGCTTCAGGTATCCAGGGTAGAGGTATCTCTATACAACACTAAATTCCACAGCGTAAACCTTATTTAAGCCTTAAATCATTCAGCTCTCTGTGGCGGGACCGTCTTGTTTGTACAGTGCAATGAGCAACAGATCCTTGGGAGCCCCTATGTGAGACTGCAATGCAAACAAACAACAAAAATAATTGTAACTGGAATGCAAGAGCCTTGCACTGTAGCGAGAGCAGGCATTCTGCTGGAAAAGAGCACCATTTGTGACAGCCCAATAATGCAAGGGCCTAGAGGCAATGTTTGTTTTCTTACCTATCATTCCGGTTGCCCCTGCTCTGGATAGAAGCTATAACCTATCCCCAGCAGTTTACAGGCTATCATCTCTCAAGACTAAGCCATTCTTTAGCTAAACTGGCAGGGTATTTCAAACATTTTATCTTAGTCTCTAGTACTGGCCACGGGCTAAACATGTCACTGCATTTGATTTTGATCTCATATCAGCAAAAATCCAGCATAACTGAAGGGAAGGCAGTGGCATTATCCTGGTATTAAACAAGTATTAGATGAGATTAGAGTTAGCGCCTAGACCAGGGGTGGGCAAAATGGCGAATCTGGCCAGCAGCCAGATTCCATTTCCCACCAGCCCCTGCCTGCATTGCTCTGGCCCGTTTCCATGAAGACCCAGGAGCACTGGGGCTGTGACAGTGCAGGTCACAGTTCCCATGGAGACCAGCCCAAGCAGCACTGGCAGGGCGCATGGCTGGGCATGGAGCTGCTCCAGGGCCAGGGCTGGAATTTTGCAGCAGTGATAGTGTGGGTCAGGGCCAGGACAGAGCCCCAATCCACTACCTGTGCACCCCTATCTGGAGGTGCAGAGGATTACCCAGAGAAAATAAAGCAGCATCTTGGCTTTTGTTTTTGGGGGTAGTTTTTGTTTTGTTTCATTTTGTTCTTCTCCTATAACAAGCAGGTTTAGATTCCACAAGAATCCCCAAAAAAACTGGGGGTTTTTTCACAAAGCACTGACCTTGTTCACCAGAGGAACTCACTGAGCTAAATTCACGCCTCATGTAACTGCACCAAAGAAAAAGGTCTAGACTAAAACAAAGCTGTCTTTAGGAATATCAGGAGGTTTACTTGCTTACCATCATGGACTTGAAATGCAAGAGTTGTGATCTTCTGCGTAACAATCATCAGTGGACTATAACAAAAGATACAAAAAGTGATGAAAGCCTTTTCTCACACACTATATAAATCCTTCCTGCCTTACTGTCTATACGATTAATCAGTATGTGTAAGCTTTTAATAGTTTACCCTCACAAAAGATCTTTTTTCACTTACAGTTTGTCAACGAATTTTATAGTTATTACTGCTTACGACTAAAAATGGAATATGCCCTGTAAACACTGAAACTTCAGGAGGAAACTAGCTAGGCCGGGGTTGGCAACCAAACTACAAAAAGTCACCACATTAGGCCCACAGAGCCAAAAGGCTTTGTCTCTGCCCATGCCCACACTGGGGCCAGGCAGCTGGAAGTCCTGTCCACATTGCCACTGCAATCTCCCCTGCTTCCTGCGTGCAGTGTGGGATAGCTTCCAGTCGAAGAGGAATTGAGCTGGAGCTAGGCAGCTTCTAGTTGTGCCCATAATGCAGACAAATGGGCAGGGAAGTAGGGGCCTGGGAGAGGCAAGTGGGAAGAAACAGGAGCAATGCAAGCAAAGTTCCCAGCTGTCCAGCCGTGGAGCAAGTCCCCTCCAACTGGAAGCTGCCCTCATGTATCAGCTGGTAAGCAGGGGCCTGAGAAAAGCGACGCCAGCACATCTCCCAGCTGCCTGGCCCCAGCATGGATATGGGCAACCTGCCCCCCCACCCCTCACTATTAACATGCTGCAGAAGCCACCTAGTCCATGCCAGACTGGAGCTGGGTTTTTCCAGCCAGCAGCTTGAAAAGGTTGCTGCCTCTTGAGCTAGGCAGAATGCAATTATTCAAACTGAAAAGTGGGACAGGATTGTGAAGTTAACAATTCTCCAGAACACTGCAGAAAGGTCTTTAATCAACAAGACACATTCAGAACTTTATTTTAGATCTTATTCAAAACATGGTACCTTCAGCAGCAGAGTACAGAGTACCAGGCAAGCCTACTCAGAAGAAACGATACTATTGTATACATTACTATCACCTTGGCAATCTTTCATTCATGTAATGACTAAATTTGAGCCTTGTGAGATTTGACATCTCAAGGTGGTACAGTTATAATATATCCTTTGTTCTCCCTTACTTCTACTCCCCTCTAATGAGTTTCATCCCTGAAATGACTGGGCTTATCCTGATCCTGCAAACATTGACACATTCTAGTTGTGCCCATCTTCAAGCACATGAGGAGTCCTATGAAGTCCAGTGGCACTACTCATATATATTTGCAGTGTTGTGGTCTTAAACTAAGCTTCTGGGGACAGGAAATTTGCCTAATGAATGTTCTTAGGCAAAAATCATACATAGTTCCTCATCACTGTTTCTCAGCGTGCTTTACAAAAGATGTCAGAATCCCATTTTACAGATAAGAAAACAGGCACAGAGGAGTGAAGTGACTTGTCTAATATAACCCACGAAGCTAGCAATTGAACTGAAAACAGAACCCAGATGCCCCAAGTTCTACTTCACTGCTCTGCCCACTGCCTCCTCCTCCATTACTACTACTTGTAATATTGTGACTGGGATATTGTATATGAGCATGAAGACACTGAGTTACTTTAAGGAATAGTTTAAGGACCTTATTTATAAGGGATATATGTACACGGAATTATTAATACAGAAGAGGTCTGGAGTAAGTGAGGAACAGTACAACACAACAATTCCAAATGCAGAAGCATTAACAAAATACAAGCGTCACACGGGTCAGGTTTTCAACCCACGTGCTATTTTATTTTTTTACTACTAAAATTAAAAACAACATTCCCTCTATATAATTTCAGAAATCATGTCTATATAAATTATAGCTACTATTAATACCTCTTCCTATTAATAATATATTTACCAGATTTCTGGTACACAGAATATGGCCGGATTTCTCACTGTACATAAAAAATTTTGGAGCGAAAAATACTTGCAACAGAACTGGATCACTACTCAAAATCAATCATTTTAAACAAAAAATATTTATTTTATTATGTTTTTATTTTTCTCAGGTATACACAAATTTCATTTGAAAGCGCAACCAAAACAATTTTCAAATGCAAAATAAGCCTGGTGATGGTCAGAGCTGGCCATGCTGTTGAAATTAATTCAACATCCTTTTTCCTTTTAAAAAGAAAACTGCATCATTCATCCTTCTTGACAGTGATAAGCATTTTACAGAAACATTCAGGTGGGCGACTTTAAATCATATGCTTTAGAATCAAAAGTGTACACCTAAAATTTAAGTGCTTGCCTTTGAAAACTGGAGCTCCTACTCTAAGCTAATGAATATGAATACCACAATGCAAGCATTCAGGAGCGCAGATTAAAACGGCATGCACAAAAACAGCCTTTGTTAAAACGCCCCAGTGTATGAACACAGAGAAAATAGGAGAGAATCTTTCTTTATCGATATCAGGAATTTATTAGTCATAATATAGATAATATATGGGCACTGAGTAAAGTAAGTCAGTTTAATGTGAAAAGAATGACAAGCTCTCCCCCTTAAATTTGAACCCCAAATGAGGCAACCTTTCACAAAAATGTATTTATTTTGCATCCCTATACTGAAAAAACAACACAATCTTGAAAGGGAAACCACTTATGGGAAAACAATAGAAGTCATACTGTTCTACCCAGGCAATATGTTCAGCATGTTTGATATAGAAATGACTAAGTCAGGAAATATAAAAAGACATTACAAGAAGGAAAAACAGAGCCTTAGAATAGCTCAGTAGCCTCCACTGTTCAAACTAACCCAATAACCTCTTGACTGGGGTTATCCAACTAACAAAAGGATAATTTGTGGCCACCAAGCTCCCACCCAGCTGGCATTCCTCCTATTGTTCCAGCTGCAGCAGCAGCTGGGGTTTCTGGGCTTCTCCCTCCTCCAGATTCTGCTTCCTGTCCAAGGCCAGGCAACATAGTCTACAGCACTGGAGGCTTCCGTGGCTGAGGGTGCCTGCATGGACACAATGCAACAGAGGTGGGGGCACCTGTGGAGCCTTAAGCCAACACTGGTGCAGCCCCTGGCTGCTTAGAAGTTGGACAGCCTGATCTAAACTATTTGGTAACCTTCTTAAGGAAGGTGGAAAACTTCCTTTCAGTTTATCCTCCAACCAGAACATTCATACTGCTTTCATCCTGTCCCAACCAGCATGGGAACACCACTTTTACAGGAGGTTAAAAATACTGCAGAGGAAGTCGCCAAAGCTAAGACACAGTGACACGCTGGGAATACCAGTAGACCATTTTGAATAATAGTCAGAAAACCTCTGAGGTCTAATTAGATCTGCCTACCACATTAGTTAAAATATTTTTAAACATGATTTAAACATGTTCATGCAAACACACTTTGCAACCAGCCTGCCTCATTAGTACAGCCAAGAGGAACAAGTCATGTTATAATCAGTATACTCCTGGCTTTTCCAAGGGATTAGGTACAGTGCTCTAGAAAAATAAAATCGATCAAACAAACTGAGCCCAATTTGTTCTAGGTAATACTACTGAACAGTCTAGCCCGCCATATCTAAAAACAGTTCCACTGACAGTTTCACTAACTGTGTGGTTGTTGGCAAAACATGTAATGTGGACCAGCATTAACAAACATTTTTTTTAAGTTGTCTACTTCATCTTGGAATTGAAGTAAAAATCTCACACAGGCAAGTTCTCTTGTTTAATTGTCCAGATTCCTTGACTTTATTACCATGCCAGAAATAATGCAATCTGCAGTAATCTGTTACTTCTGTTTTCAGTGTAAGCCTGAAAATCCTGAAGCATGCACGTGAAAATACAGGGCTGAGTTTTTCATACATCAATTGGTTTCCAGTTTGTTTCATGAGTGAAAGCCGAAGTCATTTTTAAGTTTAAAAAAAAAAAAAAAAAATCAGAACCATTCTAAACAACTGCAAGTCACAGCTTTCATGAGATAATTATTTCTTCATTATTCCTTGCAGTCAAAGGTAGCTTTCTTTCAGAAAAAAGTTTTTTCCTAGAGACGTTTCATAAGATATTAATGGGTTATAAAGCTTTCCAATTCTAATTCACTGGTTTGAATTTATGCAGGCTGGTAGATAACACCTGATGGCTCTTAGACAATTAATGTGTAATCAGAAAGTGATCTCAGTCAAGGCCCATGAAGATATATACTTAGCATGCTGTCAAGCAATAAATGGATTTACAGAAGAAACTATTTTTTTCCCTTACAGAAGAGAAACATATTAGCAGAGTAATTTCTTTTATTAATATAACCCATTCTGTGCCTGGTCTGTGCGTAAAGGACTTCAGTCCCCAGAGTTACCTGCCCTGAAGTTACACTTGGAAAAGAAATAAATTTGATTTCATCCATTCTAGAGGGGGAAAAAAGCAAGTTTACTCTAGGGAGTGTTTACTGTTTCTGTACTTTGTTTTAATATGGTACACCAATAAGAAAATACTGCAGAATCAGTTTCCATCAAGTATATTTTCTGTGTAAAAATTGGCTATTGTACCTCTGCGGCTATCTTTTGTGCTTGACACAAAACCACTGGGAGGGGGAAAAAAAAAAACAGAGTATTAAGCATCAGAAGTCAAGCCTTTGACTTATGACACTCACTGCTAAAAACCTTCTTAAAAGGCTTTTCTAGAATTTAAATTTGATTGTGTTCATTTTTAAAGTGGCTTGCTAAGCAAGCTGTTGATCCCTTTCAAATATAGCTAGTGCTGATTAAATGTTTTGCTCCAATGGTCTTAGAAAATGAAGCCCCGATTAACCTACAGAGCAGTAAAGCAGAGTTAAAGCAAAAGATTTTGCACATCAGCCAGCCAGTGCACCTCATATTAGGAAAGGAACATTACACCTTAAGGATAAGAGGGTAGTTCAGCTCCAAACTAATCCAACCACTGGCTTTTCCGCCAAGACTCCACATAATAGTACCTATTACTGCCCATTTTAATGGTGATTTTTTAATTTCTTCTGATGGGAATGGCACCAAGGTAGCCAACATTTCACATAAAATCTGTATGGTACTCCCTGGCCTTCATTAGACATTCTTTAAATAGTACTGATTTTTGGTCATACACTGGGTAAATTCCAAAATGTAATCAACCAGTGAAAGACTGCATGAACCTACTTGAGCAAAGAACTCAAGCACTTACATAACAATGTATAAAGACCCACTGATCCAATCAGTTATGTGCACAAAATTAGCCATAGGCTTAAGTGGTTTGATTAGGATCCATGTCCTTCCCTATTTTCCAGACCTAAAGGTCCTGAACCTACGAAGTTCATTGGCTAGCAAGGTCAAGCCATCCCAGTTCCTATAAACAACTGCACACAAGAAAATTAAGTGGGTAGTATGACATCTGGCCCCTTTTATCTTCTCAGCCTTAATGACCCGGTATGGTACCCACTTACAGTTATGTTGAAAGGGTACCACCTCTCAACCTGTGTCATAAGCAAGACTTACTACACAGAAGGATAACATAAGGCTCTGCTACCATGGCCCTTTAGAAAGCATCACATTCACTTGATTTTTTTAAACTTGCTCACCTCTGCTAATAGGTGTAATATTATATAGCATTAATATTACTATATTGACAGTCATGTCTATGACCCTAAAGACGATAATGTAATATTAGTATTACCATTGTTATAAAGTATTTAAGAAACCCAAAACAACTCACCAGCATAATCCTCTTAGCAAAAAGAAGAAGAAGAAAAAGAAAAAGAAATCAGGATAAAAAAAGAAATAAATAATCCTAAAAATCCTAACAAAAGTAATTCAATACAAATGTTTACATCTTTCAAAAAAAAAAAAAGTAAACAAAACTGAAGGTAAAACACTGCATTCAGCTATTTAAAATAATTAAAATCCAAAAGGTGTTTACTAAAACTAACAATTGTTACTGAAAAGTTGTTTTCATGATTTCATTTTTTTAAACTTAAAAACTTAGACTTTTCAACCAGGATGAGCAAATGCCATGACTTTTAATTTTTCATCAACAGCAACAAAAAATGTTTATTAAGATACCACAACCAGCTCTATTGTTGTCTTCATGGTGTGAAGCAGTGTCCCAACTTTATTTTTGGTCTCCTTGGGGAACATCTACACAAGACTTTTAAGGCACATTAAAGCACGTCTCGACATGTGCGTGCCCTTAATATACTTTAAAAATGGTGAGGTTGGGCTAATTGCACCTAAATTTGATACCTGCAAATGCAGGTATTAGATTTTGGCATGAATAGTTAAAGCACATTAACACTGTGTGTGGACTGCTTTGGGACTAACTTCAGTCCCAAGTCAGTCCAAACACAATGTTAATGCGCTTTAAGGCCTGTACGTGTAGACGCCTGCTTAAACCCATTTAATGTGCATTAAATTTAGGCGCACTTAAATGCTCATGTATACATGCCCTAGAGGAATTAACATAGTCACTATTAGAAAACTAATGGTTGCTATCCCTGTCTTTGAAGAGATTAATTACAATGATTAGGGACCTACTAAAATCAGGGTGGCTGCTCCCTGATTTCACATACAGAATGCAGGGTCCAACTGCCATTTTATGGGAGGAGTACAGCGCCTCCCCCAACACATGATTGGCCAAGGGGCTCTTGGGGGTCCTGCCACTTACCACCAATTGGCTGGGAGGGCTGCCTGTTGTATTGCCCTGCCCCTTGTCACCAATTGGAGAGGGATAGTGCCACATGACAAGCAGTCCTCACATCCATTCAGCAGCAAGGAGTAGGGGTGGCAGCCATCTTGCCAGCAGCCCTTTAAGTGGGCAGGCCCCCCGCCACTTCCCTCCTGAGCAGGCTGCCATAGTACCCTGAGGATTACTGGCTCCCTCTGGGGATCCAGCATTTTATTTTCAGTAAGTCTTCGCACGCTCCTCCCAGCAAATTTCACAGGCATGCCAGATTTATTGGGCAATACCAGATTTCGCAAAAATCATGATTTTGGTAGGTCCCTAACAATGATATAAAATTAGATGCATTATTTTCTATTTTAAGACATAAAATGGACTTGAAAGTTACCAATTGTCCTTCCACAGGTATTTCCTGCTCCGAAAATAGGAAAAAAAACAAAACAAAACAGAACAAAACATACCTACCCATTATTATGGGATCAAAAATGCATTGCAAGTGTAAGTTAAAAGATGGTGAATGCAAAAATCAGGCATCCGTACATTTTGGTAGAAACACCCTGAATACCTTCATTTAAAATGACAAGCCAAATAGTAAAACTGGAAGGCTGAGAATATTAGAATTAGAAGACAGATGCTTCTTTGCTGTCACATAGACTGCACTCCAAGAAAACACTTTCTGGTGTCTAGCTGCTAGAAAATCCTGTGACCCAAGGTAAAAAACTAACAGAGTTTGTTTACCTGCTTATTCTTCAGATTTCAAAAACAAAACATGTATTTTATGTCTATTTTCTAAGGTAGGGACCCTTCAACATAGCTTTACAATTGCTCAGTGATCTGTTTAAAGCTTGAAGCCCAGAAGAGGATGATTATCCTAGATTATCTGAGCTAGCTACAGTCGTATCATCATCTTCAGTCTAAGCATTAATGAGAGCAACCCTTTGGCATCAAGAGCACATACAATAGCCCTGAATCCATGAAGGACAACCGCCTCTCCAATGAAATTTAATTACATTTCCTCTGAGTAGATCTACCATGCATTACAGTGTATTTGGATATACATTATGAACAATGTTCTTTGACATACATACTTCTATAACATTCCAATCCCATTTACCTATTTGTTTTGTCATGTTCAGTGTCAGTATGCTCATATGTAATTTAAAAAAACATAAGAAAATCTTACAAAATTAAGTTTCTCTGAATACATGAACACATTTCCCCTCTTAAAGCCCAAGTGTCTCAAAGCCTTCTAGACCAGGAGACTAAATACATCTAAAGGAATAAAGACACATTCACAGAAATAGCCTGTGTTTATATTTTTATGCCTCCGCTGAAACTAAGACCCAGAAAAGGCACCTGCAGCATACTAAATAGACTGTAATAGTCATGTTCTGCCTCCCTCATAAAAAAAAAGATTGTTTATATCTAATAGAAAATGAATGACTATGCTTTTCTTTTTAATGCAGCAAATTTCTGCGTTCCAAGAAGTAAGATTAATAGCAAGAGCTAACATCTGTAATGATTTAGTCACTCTTCTGATACAGGATATCACAACTTTTGTAAGGCCCCTTTTACTGTTTTGGTGCCAGCAAATTGTTCCCAGCACACAGATTCCACAGTAGAACCAAGTTCTATGTGGACAAGACTGAGAAAAGAAAAAGAAAGCATACAAAGGTAGACTATTTAAATTATATTCCCAGTTAATTAAATTAACTGCCCCAGTTAAAGGGGAAAAACAACTTAATGACAATGCAGGCTTAAATGCAGCTAAAGTTTACCTCATTTATATCTACTTCAGTTACTTTTACATGTGCTAAGAGACCCATCCTCCCACGCCCAAGCAAGTTTTACTGGAGGAAAGGAAAACCTATGTGCGACCAAGCTTCCCAGATTGGAAGAAGAGATCCCTGGGGTAACCCAAAAGCAGAGAAGCCAAAAGAGAAAAGAGAAGGCCTGGGCTTTTTAAGCAATAGTGGCAACCCTCTCTTACTGGAGAAGGAATAAGGAAAGTAGCAGTCTACCCAAACAATCAGAATAGGCTTCATGAGCTAGTAGTAAAGCCCTGGCTCACTGCTTCATTGGGAGTAGCAGATGGCTCAACCCTTCTCCTCTAGTGAAACAATCCAGGGATCCAAACATCCTCCAAAGAGCAACTCCACAGCCTAGGGATTCTCTCCCCCAACCCCAGAACAGATAGGCACTGTAGGATTGTGCAGTGATTATTCTGAAAAAAAATCCTTTTTTGAAAGTATAAGCAAACAAAACTGCAGAAATACACTTGAATATCCTGGCACACTTCTAAAATGTACTGAAGTAAGAGCCTAAACAACTCTAATAATAAATAACAGCATTCAGCTTAAATACTCACCCAGAGAAATCTGTAGTAAGAATACCATAATGGAATATGCATAGTCGGCTAATGTGGCACAATGTGAGGTATCCTATGGCTACAGCAAAGGAATACCTAAAAACGTGTCATAAAAAACAAATTAGTTAGCAGCACAAGTTTCGGCAGATATGTGTGTCAACCTCAGATAAGCAACAACAACAAAAGCAAAGTAAATTTTTAGCTATTGGGATGGTTACAAGTCTTCTACCTTATGTTAAATGTTCTATATAAATTTTTCAGAAGTAACTGGTGATTCCAAGTGCCCAACCTGAGACACTATAAAAATAACTGATTTGTTTTAAGGGCAGATGCTGAACATTTCATGAAAGTCAGACAGATGTCTCAGTTGAGCACCCAAAAATTGAGAGCTCCAGAACTAGTCACTTTTTAAAATTTTGGCCTAAAAATAAAGTTTTAGAAACCAAATAAGTTTTAAATGCACACTGTTCAGATTATTCAGTCTCTTTTCCTTTCTATAAATACATATAAATGTGTACACACACACAAACCCTCCCCTGATTTACTTGAAATTCTAGTACTTCAGGTTTATAAACAACAGAGAGAAAGGACACAATAGCTGTATACTTTTGTCCAATAACACTTGAAAGACTATTCCTTTCAGCTTTTGATGATGAAATATGTTGTTATTCCAAGTTCTTCACATAGGACATACTCCTTAACTATGACTTGAAAAACTTCTTTGCAGTTTCTCCAGGGCAAGTGTAAAATCAGGTCATGAAGGCAGGTTGAGTGGCACTCAGCTTCCTGATGTTCCAAAGGTTTGAGGAGTACAGGACAAAACAGTGATCCTCAAACCCTATTGCTTCCTTTCCCTATCCCAATTTCACCCTGTGCATGATGCAAACAAAGATAAGGCAGGGATGACAGTCTAGAGAGAGACTCAATGCAGAGGAGGCCTAGAAGACCAACAGAACCAAGCAAACAGCTGATGCACCAGAATGAGAAATACAGCACATGACCCTTGTAGCCAGACCAGAGGCCATCAATGTCCAAGCATCAGAACAAATGAGCCAAGAAGAATCCAAGACCACAGGGACCAAGCAGGAAGCAAACCGATGGAAAAATCAAGGCCTTTGCACCAAAAGAAGAGTGGCAGAAGGTGATCAGTAAAAGACAAGGCAAGCTGAGACTGGCCAATGTGAAGTTGGAGCCACTAGCACCAAGTCAGCTTCATAGCAGGGGACAAAATAGAAGATAAAATAGCAGAAGTGGCCTGTGAGTTGGTGAAAATGGGCCAGGCCTTTGTCACTGGGTGGGAAGACCTTTTAAGAGAGATGGGCCATCTGTGACTAATTAGTTGCTACCTAGATGACAGCAATGGGTTTAAAGTCAGGGATCAAAGTGATAGCTTGCAGGTCACTTGATCTACACACGAGCAAACAGCTCAGTCAGGGAGATAAACATGAAGAAAGTGGAAGGACACCTGCAAGAGACACAGGGTTAGAGGAATGTCCTGATGTGGTGCCTTAGTGACAGGAGAGATCTGGCTAGGCACAATGGGATGGGGTGGGTAATGAAATGGGAGGTGGAAAGGAATTGGGGGTGGGTTGGAGTGGTGAAATGAAGTCAGCCAGACACTGAAGGATGAAATAAAAAGAAAAAAGAGGAAGTAAATTAAAGAAGGTCTATGTGGCAAGCTTAGGGCCACATCTCAAGTCAGCTCGCCCACCTGTCTACATAGGGCAGTCCGCCCAGTCTCTCCTGCCACAATGTTGCTGTTACAATAAACTGCTGGTAAATGCGGGAGATTGCCTATTATCTACCCTGATGCCAAGGGGCACTATCCACAGCATCAAACTTTCCCTACACCGTGGCCCATGTCTCTATGATGGCATCATAAGTTCTTAATGACTCCAGCCCCATACTAAACCCTATTAGACTCTAGTCTGGACCCCAACTAGATCCCTACTGATCAGGCAGCCTCAATCCCTGCCATCACTCAGGACAGGAAGCTCCCTAGACCTTCCCTCTCAGGTGTGGCTCTCCTCTGGGACCATGGGCCACACCGGCCCTGGCCCACCTCCAGGCCAGTCGAAACCCCAGGCCCCCGGCTCTAGGCGTCCCTCATGGTGGGTACTCCAGCCCCTTTTGACCATCCTGGTCCTGGCCCCAGCACTGACCAGTTGAGGGTTTTGTCTAGGCTCTCGCACTGCTCGCCCACTCTCTTATATGGGTCTGCCTTCTTGGGCCCTACTACGGGGTTACCCACCCAGTTGTGGGGGCTGGGGTTTTGAGGCACCCCTCCTCACCTTTCACCAGGGAGGTAACTTGTCTGGCATTTCTTAGGGACTCCCTTGCCACAGGGAGCCCCCCCAGGCCACTCTTCCCTAGCAGGATGCAGTTTCAGGTCATGTCCAGAACCAGGAGCCTCCCCAGTCCATCCCCTTAGCTCCTGCCCTTACCTCCAGGATGTTCCACACCACAAGGGAGCTGGATGGTGCTGCTCCCTCGGCTGCAAGCAGCTAACTGCTGACTCTGCCCGGCTGGCCTTTGTTTGAAAATGGCCGCCCTCATCAGACACTTGATGGCTGTCTGCCTGCCTCAGTCATTAAAGTGGCAAGCACCAAAGATGCACTGCCACAGTCTCATTGTAACAGGGTAGCTCTCATGGCCGGGCACCAGGCTGGTCCACCTCCCTGTTTGGGCAGTCTGCCCTCCTACACTTGCCTGCCACACCTTGATGTAAACAATAGGTTACTTAGTTTTAAGCAGGAGGCTGCCCATTTTAAAGCCCAATGCCAAGGGCATTATCCATGGCTCCGTACCGTCCCTACACCATGGACCATGACTTGCAGATGGTATCCATATTGCACAATGCCTCACACCAACCCATGCTCCAGAGTCTCACTGGGACACTCATTCCACCCTGGGGCATGTTGACACTCTGCCACCACACCGTGTGTTCAACTACTCCTCCAGTCCCTTACTGGGCCACTATGACCTCTGGCCTAAACTAGGCCTCAGGCATCTTTGGATGTGCCTGGGCCTTTAATTCATGCCTGTGCCTTTAACTAATGACCCTCACTAGGACTTCCCTACATTAATTGTATCAGTCAGCTTCTGTGCAGCACTTTGGACTGTCTTCAGGTCCTGCTCTACACTGCTACTGGGTATAGCTATCCTGGTCAGCATCTGGTGCAGCCCTTCAGACCGTCTTAGGTCCTACTCTACACTGCTGCTGGCTGCCACTACTCTGAACGGCTTGTGTACAGCATTTCAGGCCATCTTTAGGCCCTACTCTACACCACCGCTAGGTCCCTATCACTCTGCTCAGCCCCTTTGCTGAAGTCTCTGTGCCTCAGGCATCTGGCGACTTACCTGGACCCTACTAGCCCTCACTGGACCTTTGGACCTCAGGTATCTGACAACTTACCTGGGCCCCACTAACTCAGCCTACAGCTGTGCAAGTCTCAGGCGTCTCTTGACATACCTGGACCCTTTGGGCAATATGCCCCTTTGGTCCTCAGGCATCTGTCAACTAACCCATGCCCCAGGCCCCATGCAATGGGCCTGGACTCCTGTTGCTTTTCTATTGGGGCATGCTCCCCTAAACTTTCCCCTTCATGGGGTAACCCACAAGACAGCAGGGGCTGAGGCTTTCTAGTGCCCCATACTCACCCTTCACTGGGGAGGCACAGGTGTGGCATTTTCTGGGAGCTGCCATGCCACAAGCAGCCCCACCACCCCATCCACCCCCAGCTGGGTGTAGTTTTAAGTCATGCCCAGGACTAGAAACCTCCTGCCATTCTCATAGTTCCTACCGTGTCCTCCAGATGTTTCTGAGCAGCAGCTCTACCCAGGCGATGTTCTGCCTCCAGCAGCTTGCAGCAACTGCTACTGGCTTTCATGCTCAAGCCTGCTATTATTGCTAACAGTTGAACTCTCTTCCCCAGTCAGGCAGTCTCCTGGTGCCCATGTGACTCCTGATTGGGGAGTGCCTCCACCTGCAAACTGCCTCTGCTGCCTACTCTTGCCCTTTTGAGTGGCAGGCACCCAAAGGTGCCCTGTCACATTCATGTTTTAATAAATTTGGATTTGGGCTTGGGTTGTGAGGGGTGCTGGTCATGCTTCCCAGGCTGGCTGGGGGGTGGGAGCAATGAAGGCAGGCGCTTCTGGGGGAGTTACCAGCTCACAGGGACCCAATCCAGCCCCCTACCTTGTTCCTCCCCACCCACCCCAGATCCCACTCCTGGACCCGTTCATGCCCTGTGACCTGACTAGCTAGCACGTGCTCCACAGGCTGCTTGCACAGTGTTCCACCCCTGGGGGCAGGAAGGTCACACCACCAGAGACAGGAAAAGGAGTTGGTGTAGTGCCAGAAGTGACCCCTGAACAGCAGAATTCAGGGGGTGGAACTTTGTCCACACAGAACAGGAAGGTGGGAAAGAGGACACTGCATCCTAGGATGCTGGAGAACTGCAACATGGGCAGCTCACCTGTGGGGAGTGGCCACACATTAATGGAACACGGGTTGGGTAAAACAAATCAGAGATACCCTGGGGCAGTCTAAAGTGTGCTTTAAACTAGTTTCAGATATTAATGTGTGGACAACCTAGGGCAAGGGTGGGAAAAAAATAGGCCTGCAGGCCAAATCTGGCTCACCAGGGCATTTTGTCCAGCCCACAGTGGGTCCCTTGGCCCCACCTGGCAGGCAGCACAGGCCATGGTGCTTGTGGCCTGTCCTGCCACCCCTAGATGTACAGCAGGATCTAGGGGTTAAGAGCTACAGCAGCTGCCTAAAATTAATGTGTAACAAGGCCTTAGGTCCCTGACTTACCTGCAGATGAGACTAATTGGGAATAGCTGAAGACAGGACTTGGCAATTAAGTTGCAGAGTTTCGCATCCATTACTTCCTCCCCTTCCTCCACAAGCAATATCCACACTCTGGGAATACAGTCTTTATACTGTTTTTCTTAACAGTCTCCTATACTATTTAGGCAGCAGCGGGCAACTGGCCTATGGGATCCAGTGTACTAAGTCTGTAGGAAGCAGCTTAGCCTCAAGCAAGCAGATGTTGGGAACATGTTTTGAGCCCTATCTTAAACATGAAACA